GCCTTTAATAAGCCAAGTGCAGGTGGCCTGTCGTGCAGGTGCACATATCCATCTGAAACATGGAGCATAAAGCAGATGAACTGCGAGGTGTGCCTTAAATTATTGGGATGCAATCTGCATTCATTATCGAGAGCAGCAAGATCTGTTTTAGAAAGAGATCAAAAGAATTTGCATTCTTTGTGACTGCGATGAGGCTGAAGAGAGAATAAAGTATTTAAGGCAGATATGCACCAGACAGTTTAGAAATAATTAAACTGTTTATTAAGACAGGACACAGATTAAAAATACCCTTTTTTCAGTTTAAATTAAATAATCATTGTACAATAATGAAAAAAAAACATTAAAAAAACAAGTGACCAGTTACTACACCATTGACATTAGCTTCCTAGTATAACTATTAAGCAGCATAGAGTTGATTTTTTTTTTTTTATTGAGCTTTCCTTAACCATAAGAGTCTGTGTCTAAGAGAGCAGCTGGTATTACATTGCTCTGCAGTTTTTATCTGAGACAAAATTACTGGAGTTACATTTAAAGGTGTCAAAATAAGCATTCAGAGCCCTAAACATAATATTTCAAAATGCATTTCCTGTATTATAAGCAGACTCATTACTTAAATAATACATTTTAATAACTGACTTCAAAATACTTTAAGTTGGTCTTAAACAAATACAGCACGTATTATGACATGGCTTTTGCAAAACTGAGCAGCTGTTCTGCAGCACATTCAGCATTATGTTATTTACTTATATTCAACTCTGTTGAGGAAGTGTGAACTGAAAGTGGAAACAAATACTTTTTCTTTTCCTTTTTCATCTTTGTGAGATCCTCACAATACTGAAAACATCTTTATCACTGAGTAACTACCTCTGAAATGAAGAATAATGTAAGACCATGTTAGAAAAATAATATTTTTGGTTTCAATCGTTGGTCAAGCATGAAATCGTCTCATTCCAGTTACCCCCTGATTTCTCGGTGAATCTCTGCTAAATTGAATCTCGTTTTCTCTGACAGGTAAAAAAAAAGCTTGTCTGTTCATTTTTATACAGTGAAGACATAATACATGGAAGAACTTCAAGACCGCTCAGACAGAAGGGCTTATAACCACAAGGTCAACAGATTTAACGGGGGACATTTTTTTATTATTTATTTTAGCAGTTAACCTCTTTGTGAATTTCCAGAAGTGGTGGGCACCAATGAATATACATGACAGCAGGGAGGAGAAAACCCAGGAAGGAGATTTAATTTGACACACTGACCCCCATCTCCATGGGCCTGGGAAGCCAGGGTGAGAAAATAAGGTTGACCCAATGACCCCCTAGGGCCTGAACTCCTCCTTCACCCATCCTTACAATTAAATCAGCCTGAGAGAGCAGAAGGATCTTCGCCAACCAGTGATGCATCTCACTTCTTGTTTGTTCTAGGAAGCTTTGAGACATGTAAAGCCCAATTTAATGTGCCACCCTCTACCAGTTAAAATGTCAAAATGATTTGTCAACAGTGTAAGCTTTACTATTAGTTGGCAATATGCTAATGGGGGTAAGGCACAACTTGTGCAGTCTTGCTACCACTCTTTCTGAACCCAAATCTGCATTTTCATAGGTCGTGCAAGGCTCAATCTTGCTAATGCAGACACTGCAAGCAACCTCTTCCCCTCCATGTGGTGCCTAATGCAAAAACTGTGCATGCACGTTAGTGTTTGACCTCGCCATAACCCTAAGAGGTTACCGTGTGTCTACACAGCATCCCCAATACCTTGAGTAATTCATTTCCCCTCCTTTTTCACCCCTTTAGTTCTCTCTAAAGAAAATGCGTGCAGACACCCTGCACCGATGCGCCCTCTCCGACTACTGTTGGCTCTGAGCAATTTCAAGTTAAAGGTTATAGAGCAGGACTGGAATACATTTTATATAGGCATAGAAAGCCTCAGAGTGCATTTTGTGGCCACAGCCAAAAGGTTGCACTTTAGTCTGCACACGTTACAGCATTAGATTACATGTACTCCAAAATACAGTTATTAGACAGACAGTGAAAAAGTCAATATCTTGCCATCATGTTTCCTTTTGGTTGACTGCTGACTCAAGGAGACAAGTGAAGGTCCGCTGTGCTCTCTAAACTATTGAGATGCGATGCCCCCATCTTGATTTGTCCAGTTGTGTGTGTGTGTGTGTGCCTGTTAGGTTATTTGAGCACTCTTGATTTCTGCCCTCTGCCTCTCATTCTTTTTTTCCTTTCTTCTCTTTCAGTCTGCGTTTTTTCATTGCAGAGAAATGTGTGCTGAAATTTGTGTAGCAGTTGTGTGTATTTGTTTTCCGAAGGACCTTAACAGCTGCTGTAGTGTGTGGCTAATGAAGCACTTATAAAATCAGTTGGCGGGTTTATTTTGGATGTGAGGACATCGTGATTAAGAGAGCAAAGATTACAATAACAGAAGAAATAAATCAAATATATCGAAGAGGACATTCACTAGTGGTGAACTAATCAATTCTTAGTTTTTTTTTTTTTTTTTTTCAATATAGCCTATATATATATATATACAGGTGCTGGTCATAAAATTAGAATATCATGAAAAAGTAGATTGATTTCAGTAATTCCATTTAAAAAGTGAAACTTGTATATTATATTCATACATTACATACAAACTCATATATTTCAGATGTTTATTTTGTTTAATTTTGATGATTACAAATGACAACAAATGAAAATCTCAAATTCATCATATCAGAAAATTAGAATATTACTGAAGACCAATAAAAACAAAGGATTTATAGAAATGTTGGCCAACTGAAAAGTATGAACATGAAAAGTATGAGCATGTACAGCACTCAGTATTTAGTTGGGCCTCCTTTGGCCTGTATTACTGCAGCAATGCGGCGTGGCATGGAGTCGATCAGTCTGTGGCACTGCTCAGGTGTTATGATAGCCCAGGTTGCTCTAATAGTGGCTTTTAGCTCTTCTGAATTGTTGGGTCTGGTGTATTGCATCTTCTTCTTCACAATACCCCATAGATTTTCTATGGGGTTAAGGTCAGGAGAGTTTGCTGGCCAATTAAGAACAGGGATACCATGGTCCTTCAACCAGGTACTGGTAGCTTTGGCACTGTGTGCAGGTGCCAAGTCCTGTTGGAAAATGAAATCTGCATCTCCAAAAAGTTGGTCAGCTGCAGGAAGCATGAAGTGCTCTAAAACTTCCTGGTATGTGGCTGCGTTGACCCTGGACCTCAGAAAACACAATGGACCAACACCAGCAGATGACATGGCACCCCAAACCATCACTGACTGTGGAAACTTTACACTGGACTTCAAGCAACGTGGATGAAGTGCCTCTCTTCTTTTCCTCCAGACTCTGGGACCTTGATTTCCAAAGGAAATGCAAAATTTACTTTCATCAGAGAACATGACTTTGGACCACTCACCAGCAGTCCAGTCCTGTTTCTCTTTAGCCCAGGCAAGACGCTTCTAACGCTGTCTGTGGTTCAAGAGTGGCTTGACACAAGGAATGCGACAGCAGAAACCCATGTCTTTCATACGTCTGTGTGTGGTGGTTCTTGAAGCACTCACTCCAGCTGCAGTCCACTCTTTGTGAATCTCCCCCACATTTTTGAATGGGTTTTGTTTCACAATCCTCTCCAGGGTGCGGTTATCTCTCTTGCTTGTACACTTTTTTCGACCACATCTTTTCCTTCCCTTCGCCTCTCTATTAATGTGCTTGGACACTGAGCTCTGTGAACAGCCAGCCTCTTTAGCGATGACCTTTTGTGTCTTGCCCTCCTTGTGCAAGGTGTCGATGGTCGTCTTTTGGACAACTGTCAAGTCAGCAGTCTTCCCCATGATTGTGTAGCCTATAGAACTAGACTGAAAGACCATTTAAAGGCTTTTGCAGGTGGTTTGAGTTAATTAGCTGATTAGAGTGTGGCACCAGGGGCCATCAATTTTGAACCTTTTCACAATATTCTAATTTTCTGATATGATGAATTTGAGATTTTCATTTGTTGTCATTTGTAATCATCAAAATTAAACAAAATAAACATCTGAAATATATGAGTTTGTATGTAATGTATGAATATAATATACAAGTTTCACTTTTTAAATGGAATTACTGAAATCAATCTACTTTTTCATGATATTCTAATTTTATGACCAGCACCTGTATATATATATATATATATGTATATATATATAAATGTTTTAACTTACTGATCCAAACCTCTAGCTCTCCTGCTGTAAATTATCTTTAACTGTTCATATTATGCATTCAACATCTTACACTGGTGATCAGCACAGCTTCACTAGCAGTAAAAATCCCTCTCTACCACCCCCCACCCTCAAAAGTTTTAAAATCCAGTACAGTCCAGGAAAGAGAGAGGCATAAAAACCAGAGCGACTTTGCAAAATCAATTCAGTGTTCCTGTTCACTGCTAACGTCTTGCCCTCTCTTGCTTTCTATCAGCCTGCATGAATGGCAGGTCCATCCGAACATGTAAAATTTTTTATGTCCTTTTAATATTGTATCAAATCAGTGATTTTTCTTTAATCTTATTTCTAATATCTCACTGGGAATGAAAATGGCTAACAGGAGTTTTCTTCCTGCAGTAATAACTTCTACACTAAAGAGCATTGTCAATATGATGTGTAAGATTTTGTGTAAACTGATGAGATAGAATATTGAAGTTGAATAATAAAGAACCAGTTGAAATAATTACTCAAGTCACTCTTCCTGTTAAAAGAATTGCTCTTTATTGCTTCCTTGCAGCCTAAGAATGTCATAGGAAACTTTCTTTTTACATCAGATGCTGAAAATGTTGTGCAGTAATGCATTAATAAATGTTTTTGCAAGAAATCTCTTTGTTCATCAGAATAAAAGTGACTACTATCATTTATGTTAATCTTTAACTCCACTTTTAAAAGAAATGTATTATTCTGGGACTTTTAGCTAATCATCTGTCACCTTTTTCTTCTTTCTTTCCCATCAACCCCTGCACTGTGGGCTCACTCTTCATAAAGGCTGCTGAATAGAATGGCCGCTGATGAACGGCATCTACCGTCCAGCTGTGGGTCCTACATCAAGACAGAGCCATCCAGTCCCTCCTCGGTCATTGACACAGTCAGCCACCACAGTCCCAGCGGAAACTCGGACGCCAGCGGCGGCTATGTCAGCACCATGAACAGCCACTCCAACGGCCTGGACTCTCCACCAATGTTCACCCCCGGCGGGCTAGGCGCCGGCTCCTGCCGTAAGCGCTACGATGACTGCTCCAGTACCATCATGGAGGACTCATCCATAAAATGCGAATACATGTTGAACTCCCTCCCCAAGAGGCTGTGCCTGGTCTGTGGAGATATAGCCTCAGGGTATCACTATGGGGTGGCTTCTTGTGAGGCCTGCAAAGCCTTTTTTAAAAGGACAATACAAGGTATTTCCACTACTCTCCCCTTACCCTTATATCATCCCATATTGACACATCAACAGACACAAAAACACACAATACATGAAATATCTGGTATCAGAGCAACACTAAAACATGCTTATGAAAATAAAATCACTAAAGATTAATACAGTAGAGACAATATACATACATATAAAAAAAAAAAGAACTTTGAACAAACATTAGTTTGACAATGAAATGAAGTAAATGGCATGTTTTGGTCTTATCTTTGTGGTGAATTTTAGGGTTTGGTCATTTATTCCCTCTACTATTTTGCACCCTCACCCGGTAATTTTCAAACTATTTCGTATTCATGTAGTTAATCATTAAAAGTCATATGATCTATTTTGTTTATTTTGCTTAATATTGAGGAGAAGTGGTTCTAAACAGTGTATATTGACTGAAAATACAGCAGAATTTGTGGTGACATCATTTCACCCTCCTGATATTTCATACCTTTGCAGCTTTTGTGGTCATTTCAATTCCAGCTTTTTGGAAAATTTACATTATGCACTCTAAGGTTCTGTGTGATTCTCTCTGACATCAAATTGTTCTGTATTATGCCATAACCTACCACAAGGAAGTGTGGTAGTTTACAATGCAAAATACCTTAACGCAAGGTGTCAAAACATATATGTCAGGAGACTCAACATTCTCAGAAGAAAAATAAAAATGGAATCAGTTAGGTTATACCTGAAATTTAAGTATTTTATGACTGTGTTAGCAGAAATTAGTGATAAACTAGCTTTTAGTGTTGCAAGGCAAGAGCACAAAATGGGTGTATCTGTTGGCAAAGGGGGAATTAAACCGGACACAAGATTACAGTTTGACACCCAACCCAATCCATCTCAATAGGAAACATTAGATCATGGAACGTTTCTTTTAATCATCATTAATAGAAGCAGAAATGAGACCTAGTGCAGAAGACTTCTTTAGACACCCTAAAGAGTCAGGTGTTAAATATCAGAACATGCAAAAGGACTAAATGACAAAGAAGGAGAATGGCCAGGAAATATAATTGTTATAAAATAAAAACTGTGGTGTCTGTAACGATCGGTTGACATTATTCCACAGAGGTCAGACTGACAGAGAGTGCTTTTTATCCAGATGCAAAAGGGAGGAGAAAGATACTTTATACTCCTGTCCTTTTTGTTTGCGTGTGTTTTTGCATATGGTTAGCTGGAAGACACAATGTTTTGAAGCTTCTCATTAGAAAGGCAATGAAAGACCCCCCTCTGTGAAACTGTGCGCTCTGCTTTAGATTAATCAGGAGGAAAAAGATATTGTTGAGCCTGGAAAAAAAAAATCTGCACAACAGGCACAGCTGCTCAGGTCAGGACTAAGCTCTGTTGGCTTAGCAGTGGAATACATGCAAAGGGAAAATCAAATAAAAAAGGTAGACGAGCCAAAAGGGGATTTCTATTACTTCTTGCATTAACGTTTCTCTGTAAATTTTTTATCAGTAAATGACTGCAGGAATTACATGGCAAGCATGTCTGTCTGTCTTGATGCTAGGTGTTGATTTTGGACCTGGCTGCCCTATCAGCTTTAGACAGTCTATGTACCTTTTGCAGACAAACAAAAGCATTAGGCCAAATCCTCCTGTTTACTCATGCTGCCATCAGCAATCCCGTCTATTGACAAAAGATGAACATTTTCTCTCAAGTAAGATAACAGAGCTTTTGTCCCCTTAGTAAAAGTACACTCACGGCAACACAAATGAACAGAAAGGATGCATTGGGGAAAGAAAGAGACGTCTTAAGTGGAGCAATGGTCCAAACAATTAAAAGCAGAGTACCAGGAGGAAAAAAATGGAACGCTCCTCTTTCTTCCGCCTCACTTTGCATTGTCGATTTGAAATCCCTCTCTTTCTCTTCTTGGAGGGCTGCCTGTAATGGAGCTAATCTGCCGTCGTTTGTCCGAGCCACAGGAGTTTTGTCAATAACAATCAGCGTTTGGAAAGTGTAATTAAGGCCGAGGCTTTTCATTAGGAGGAAGGGAGGGGGCTGTCTCCAGGGATGGGCATGCCAATTAGAAACTCAGGCACGCGTCGCCGGGTAATTTCAGCGAAAGGAGGGGAAAAAAACCCAGGACTTCTTCTTCTTCTTTAGATTGGAGAGGGACCCTGCTGCTCCTTCAGAGGAGAGGAGGGGAGGCTTAATGGCATAATAATCAGACAGGGGTCCCAAGCAGAGGAGGCAGGAGGACGGAGAGACTTTTTGGAGGGGGAGGGAGGTAAAAGCATTCTAAAATGATAAAAATAAACACACGCAGGATTGCTGGAGGAAAAAACCCAGTCAGTAAAACACACTTTCTAGAGCCCTTCAAAGAATGAGAGGGTGCTGTTGATGAGAACTGATTAATTAAAGGAATAACGAGGCAGTCAAGGGTGGAGTGCGAGTCTGCCCACTCTAATGAGAGGAAAACAAAGGAGCTGTCTTTTGCAGGACTTTATCACGTTTCTAGGATAAGACTCGGGGCAAACATGATAAGTTAATGTTAAGCATTTACATGACAGCTGCGCGATCACCTTGCGCTCACCTTGTGATATACCTTTTAGCAAATTAAGAGTTTTTTCAGGGGATATTGCAGTTATATTTTAGATGATTTCCAGAATGTATGCAATAACTCTTTGTTATCCTTCTCTTCCTGGCTACATCTTCAGCTATTGCCCCTTTCTTTTCAACAACAGCCGCTGGCAAATCCATCTTCTGTCACCAATTCATATAGAGAAAGGCCCCTTGAACTTATATGTAGGAATAGTTGCATTACTCAAGGCCAGGCCCAAATTAATGTCAACCTTTATCTTCATCCATCCCAGAAATATCCCTGTTCTCATTGCTTCACTTATTGCCCCCCTATCTCCCCGTGTCTCGCGCTCTACCAATCAAAAACATAAATGCCTTATTGAAGCGTGTTTTCTTCCCATTTTTAACCCAAGTGTAAAATTGCTTGAAAACCAACTGAACTCGGTGGCCCTCTTTTATGTGAAGTAATAGACCTTGACAGTAAGCCTGTAAAAGTCAGTTTAGATTTTGATGAGAAATACCTGCCATTTTACTGTAATTTACTTACAAGACCTGACTTTCCCCCTCTGTGCCCTGGCATGGGTCCTGAAAAGCCATAAAAGAGATTGAGACAGATACTTATCAAGAGGGAAAAAAGGAGGGAACTCCTTTTTTTTCTTTCCCTTTACCCTGTAATGTTATTGGTAACTATACTATAACCTCTCAGAAAACAGATAAACTTGGGCATGACCTCTTGGGTTAAAGTGCTTCATAATAAAGGATTCATTTGTTAAAGGGGGAACTTTCCTTGCTGTTACATTTAGCATCTTTCAAGCAAGGACTAGAATGCTGCATCCGTCAGAATGGCAGTTGTAGCATTCTCATAGTGTTTAGTTGTTTATCTCTATCACTGTTTCTCTGTTTCTGGTTTGGCTGAGTACCCAAAATGCTGCCACACAAATATTAATATATTTTAACACTTATGTATCAAAACTCTTTTTTATATTTGGCCACTCCTGCATCATCAAGTCTTTGAAAGGGCCGGTTGGAGCTGTATAAAAATAACTTGTAAAACTTCCATTACAGCCCTTTATTTTGCATTTCTAGACACTTTTTGAACCTTAAAACGACATATTTGTCTAATTAAGAGCATGGTTTGCCTTTTTGGCAAAAGGGCCAGATAAATGGCCATGATAGGCCAGATTTAGCTTCCGGGCCTCGAGTTTAACACGTACATTAGAATGTTGTTGTTACTTTTTTATCCTTTATTTTATTTGTCTATTTCTTACTTCAAAATAAGATGATTGGATACATATATTCAATTTTAAGGAAATCAATACAATCTCCTGGGCCTCCCAACTGTCCCATAAACCATCGGTGAAAATTCTCAGTCATCCAAATCATAGTCATTCCAAAAAACAAACCACTGCACTTGTTTTCCAAGTTTGAAAATGATTTGCTTCCCATCAAGAAAGCTTTCTCAATTAGGCCGACCTAAACCATAACAAGGCTTTTGTTTGGGCTGCTCTATAAGCCTGGAACTCAACACTGATCCAGACATTTTGAATTGAGAAAGCTTTCTGGATGGGAAGTGAAACGTCTTCAAACTTAGAAAGCAGGTCCAGTGGGTTGTTCTTTGACTTTTTTGGAATGTTTTATAAATCATAGCATCTGACAGCAGGTGGATAACATAAGAAATGCTGTATTTCGTATTTCTCTTGCACCGCTAAAATAAAATCTAAGCTGCTTATAGAAAGTTCTTGCCCAAGGATGCCAATTCCTGCAAAAATATTAGTCTACCTCCTTGCTGTAAAGTTATTAAAACAGTGTTACTTCATTAACCTGCTTTGTTTGCTCTCCATCCTTTATTAGAGTCTGAGATTAATTCACTCTTGTGGATTTCAGTGGCTCCAATTAAAAGAGTCAAATTGTATAGTTGATATATTAATTTAATCCTAGCTGCATAGATTTGTAACAAGTGAACATAATTCATGCGCTAAAGAAATTAGCATAATTAATCTGGCTTTATCATATCAGTTAAAATTAAAAGTATTGTCATTATCTTATTTTATACAACTTAGTTTAATGTTTGCTTTTATTGTGTTGGCATTAATGGAGTTCCTTACACTGTTAGTATCTTACATTTATTTAACAGTAACTTAGGTCTAGATAAGTTTGAAGGTATATTAAGGTTATGTTTTGACTTCACTGAGACGATTTGTATAGTGATACCTAAACACTCTCTAATCTAAAAATAAATCAAACACAGACGCGGAGAATTAGTTAATCCACCCTTCGCACTGCAGTGAGAGATGAGAAGCCCCCTCTGAGCAGAACATCAGATGAGCAAGGAGCTTGAAAGCACAGGTGGACACAGCAGTGTGTTTGTTTTTGTTTCTGTGGCACCAAAATGGCCTTGGTTTCCCACTGGGTGAAAAAAAAGCATACTGTCAGAAAGCTACATTTTTGGCCACTCAAACCAACCTGCAATAAATCTATGTATGAGGATTCAAACTGAATTACTGCCTGTTTTAATACAAATTATATATTTATTTCATTAAAGGGGATCTTGCTGATTGGTTAGTGTATCTGGAGAAGCACAAAAGACCAGAGTATGAAGCCCCTTCAGGACAGCGCTGATTGTCTCCCCGCCTTATGGGAAATGATTTGGATTATTATGGTGTGTTCTGCTATGACAACAGAGAAAAACAGACAGAGGGAAGGCAATCAGAGCTCATCAGCCACCTCCCTCACACCTTTATTTACCCCAATCCCAACGAGATGATGGGAATTAGCATAATGATTTCTAAACCAGATAAAAAGAGGAATTTCTAATTATTTATAACATCTTGGGACCCTCCTCCTGATCTGTCCAATAATGTTAACATAATTGCATAAGTTGTCAAAGGATGTTGAAGGGCTACTGGAGGAACGCTGGTTGAATATTACACAGTTTCCTTACAGAAATGCAAAGTGAAGATCATAGCAGCTTATAGTACTGGGATGTAATCCTAACGTGTTTATGTGGAGAACAAAGAGCTGCTCCATTTAAAAAAATTTAAAAATCAAAGGGTAGAAACTTTTCAATTTCAAAAGCTTTAAAGCTGAAAGTCCTCTCAAGATGAAGATGATTCAAATTCCTATTCTTGAAGAAACTATTACACTGAAACCCCCTATTGAAAGGCCATGAATACAATAAAATGTAGGGAGACGTGCAGAGCCCGAGTTACTCCCATACATATCATGCCCTTTCTGTTACTAATGCTAGAGCAGAGCAGGCTCTTTTATTGTACAGCAATGAAAATCTTTCTCAACATGCTGCAGCTGAATAATGCATAAGGTCTCTTGGCTGCACACTATGTAAATAGTCAACAATAGCAACAGTGGTAACAACAGGTTTGGGTGTGCAGGAGTATTATGTAAAGTGGTCAGGGTGGTGTGTCTGGCTCTCTAGCCTGCTACCGAGGCAGTACCAGAGCCCCCATGAGCAGAGGGGTGGGGGGAACATGGCCCATGCAGGGGCCTGGAGGGGACATGTATAGAATTAATGAGGCCAATTTAGTGTTAGACTGGGCGGCATCTACTGAACGGTCCTTAAGGACCATTGTAGCTTTTCTCTGCTCACTACCCATACTCTCTAGATCCTCCTATCCTTGTCCTTCAGTTCTCACTGAAAAAAAAATCACCTGAGCCCCCCTGACCATTAGATCTGTGGTGGTATGAGATTCCAAGCTACTTACCTTGAGTAAATATTTTACAGCAATGTTTTATTTAACTAAATATCTACACCAGATATGCATAACATGTTTGATATTTTATTTTATTTCAAAATACCAAAGCAGTAACTGTTTACGCAAGGGTATTCATGTAATTATCTGTTTGTCTGTTTATAGATATTTAAATATTTAAACACATACTTTAAAATATACAGACTGAACAACTTCTACATTTAGATATATTTTTTTGTAATTGTGTAGCATATGCTATCATTTCTTTTATGTTGTTTTTCTACTCTATATACAGTAACTCAAGTATTAGAAGACAGCGGTCAACAGACAGTGTTGTCAGTACTGTATAGTTTTAGAGGGTTAAAATTTAATGGTATGGTCTGGGTATTTTCAAATTTGTTTTAGTGAGAGTGTCTGTTGTAATTCAACCTGTTAGATGTATCATACTGAGTTTGGGAAAAAGGTAAAATAAAAATAAAACATTTTTATATAAAACCTTTTCAAACAGATATTACATTAATTTCAACAAAAAGAGATACAGTATCAAAAAGTTCACACCCGTAAGCTACAACACTATGGTAGAGTTTTAAATGTTTATAGTTTCACCAAAGACAGTTATGATAGTTATTGTCATTTTTTTTACACACTATGTTGTAGTTAGGGTAGGTGGGGCAGCTGTTGATATCAAACTTCTTGAACATCTGTGACTTGCAAGCCTGAAATTATTCTGACAAGAGTGGCCAAAGCTTTTTATTTTATTTTTTTTCTACATGTTGTCATTTGTGCAATTGCATTGTAAATGGTCCATTCCTGTGCTTTCCCGCCTCTCGTGTTTGTTTTGAAATGATCCGACGGCTTATGATCAGGTGAGCGGGTTGATTAATGATCATACTTATCTACGCCATATAGCATAGTGCAGTAACATAGATGTTTTTTAACCAGAAAAAAACAAAAAATAGCAGCAGCACTTTGAGGAACCACAGACAGCTCATTTTAAACAGAACATTTTATTACAATTTTAGCGAGTAATGACATCTGTCCAATCTCTTCAAGTCACACAGATATATTTGATCAACCCTGTGGTTACTGCTTCTCCTCCTTCTCACGTGTCTAGTGTAGTGTACACGTGCACCGCTGCTTTAGCATTTGCACACTGTTACCCAAATATTGCATCAACCACCTAATCACAACCTTAATAAATCTAATGCAAAGGCAAAAGCTGTGGTTATTCTATTATCTCTTAATGCTGGATGTTTCTCTTGACACAGTTCAATACAATATTCCAATCCTCAATCGAAATTCATTCTCATTATTCTACCCAGGAACCTTTAATCAGTGAGACAAAAATTTCAAATATATGGCAGCCGTACTACCAATGTACGTTAATATTCTCATGTGAGGACCGATATAACATGGGTTTTTCCAACGTGTTAGAATACATGGCAAGATGGAAAACAGTTAGACAGCAGCATTCGCTTCCAGACTATGGCTTTGCCTTTCTTCCACAACCTCAAATGTTTCTAAAACATGAGAAGTATTCTTTTTTGTATGCAAGGAAAATGGGTTTTACCTTTTTTGAGGCAAGTTTTTTTTTTAAGTAGCTATATGTACAAGTACAGCATTTTATGATCGGATCGAAATGTATTCAGACCTTAAAACAAAATCTTATTGTTCTGTATACATCGGCGTATCTGATCAAAATAAAATTGCAAATCAGACCAAAAATGTAAATATGCTAGTTGGATTATTGTGACATGTGTTTGATCAAAGTGGAAATACATCCACATGCATGCAGACCAGTTGGATTGTCAAACAGCATAAACCAACCCTTTTAGTTGGATTACAATTGCCTCTCGATCCTGACAAATTTGATCTGAATATTCCAACTGGCATATTTACAATTACATGACACATGTAAGTATAGTCAGCCATTGATTCTGATTACTTGTTCATATAAGGGTATCTAATATGCACCAACAGGTGGGGGAGGGGACAGATTGAACCATTGTGATTATATGTTTTTTAGCCTCATCCTTTTAAAGTCTTTGTATACTTCGATACTAGCATCTAATCAAGAAAGAAAATGGTGTTGCAATACTACAAAGGTGACTTAAGATACATTAGTAGTTCCATTACATGTAACACCTACTTATTTGAATCATTCTTTTACAGGACTCTTTATTTATATTCTATTTTTTTCTTACCTACTCATTTTTATGCATTCCAGGTAACATAGAATACAGCTGTCCCGCCACAAACGAATGTGAGATCACAAAACGGAGACGCAAATCATGTCAGGCTTGTCGCTTCATGAAATGCCTCAAAGTGGGGATGCTCAAAGAAGGTAAGAAGAGTAAGAACATTTTTTATTAATTTTACACACATCTACAGTACGCAAACATTTCTAACCTTGCAACCCTCACGTTCACGATGATTGCTCTGCTACATCCCTGATTGCTGCAGCAATCAGCCTGCTGTGTTTTTCTTGCGCTGTCTAACACAACCCTTTGCCCTCCCTCTACCTACACAGCAGTAAATAATGTGCAGTTGAGCTGGGGACAGAAATATGCTGAATAGGTTTCTCCTGCGGCCTGAGTAACAGAAATGTAACAGTATTCCACTTGGAAAGGCTCATGGAGGGTCCCTCAGCACACACTCGCCACAGTCTCAGCTCTCCCTGGCATATTGATCCACTAAATGTTTTCCGAACATCTCAGCTCTCTTCCTGTGGATTTTGTTTAAGTCACGCCATCAGGGAATTCAGTGACAATTAAACATGCTCCAGATGGATTTGTCTGGCCACGGTTTCTCTCCCACTAAATATCACCACTAGCTGAAACCCCCTGAGACCCCGAGTCTTGGCTGCTATTTTAGGGAAGGCTCCTCTGCTTTCACTGCATTATACATCCTCACCTGCCTGACCTCTTTATACATCCTCACTACTTCATTGCTGTTTTCAGGCTTTAAGTTAAGAATCTAATATCCGAAAATATGGTACAAATGACTGTAAGTTAATCTCACTTTAAAAACTATCAATATTTGTATTTGTTTTAAGCTTATTATTTATATCACTCCATTTTATTATACCACTGTCATACAGCAAATAAGTTAAATGAATTTTCAAATTCACACAACTATATAAACACCTCCTTACTTATATTTGGTAAAAACAAATATATCAGCAATTTGTGGGAGAAACTACATGCTGTTTCTTACTCTTCAACAGGTTACAACATAATTCGGGATATTTTTATGGATACTCGAACTGTCTAAAAATGTATCTCACTCCATCTAAATTGCCTCTCTCAGGTGAAAACAAAATTAGTTAGAATAATCTAGACATGTCTAGTAACTCTGCTGACATGACAATGAAACTGAGAATGTGACCTAACTCTTAAAACAACGCCTTCAGAATTGGCTGAAATTAGCAGAAATTGATCTGTTTGGCGTGTGAAGCATCTTGGAGGTAGCAGCATGATGTACGTTTGTTTTGCTGCTGTTAGTTGAGGTAAATCACCCAAAGCCGGTGGAATCATATAGAAAAATAATATAAAAGCATGACTACCACCACTTCTACAAAGTCCAAGACTTTATGCATTTGTGTGGTTTTCTATATCAATAATTAAATTCTGTAATACGTTTATTTGATATTTTTTTAACATTTTACCTAGATTTTAATTGTATTGTAAGCCCAAAATTGATTTGGCACTTACTGCGGTTGTAAGTCTCTGACTACAACTATAACTGTACAGTCCCTAACATGTTTGTCCTCATTTTTATATGTTTTAATAAAATAACCATAATACTTACTTGCTTTTTTTATCCACTCCAAAAATTCTAATTTGCCTTAGTTTTAATAAGAAAGATGCACTCGTTCAATTAATACCAAGTCTTAATCAATATATGCATGAAATGCAAATATAATCTTTGGGTGTTTTTGGATGACTCAACATAACAACACATTTTTTAACCTTTTCAAAACAGGAATTTCATTTCGAGAAACATGGCCTTTTTAATCTGTAGGGAGAGACAGACAAATACCTTGGTAGCTATGATAAACACATTTTCTACTTTTAAATTGTCTGCCTAACTCTTAAGTCTATAGTCTCCTTTTTTCTTCTTCTTCCTGTGTTTCTGCCATCTTACAGCAAGATTTATAGATGCATATATATTCAGGCAGCAGCCAGATCCAGCATGGTAGTCTGTATGGATCTGCAGCGCAGTAACAGAATCTCCTGGACTGCATATGACCAGATAAAGCCTCAGTGCCAGAAAGACAGAGTAATCGCATTACTATCTGATAAAAAATGTATGCCAATTTATCATACTGGAGAGTAAGAGACTACAAAATGATGTGGCAATGGCTATGAAAGAATGACCAGTGTAGGGTCAAAGTAAAAATATTCACACCTCCACTGAGCCTTGGGTTTAATTTAGTCTTCTGTGAAATCAGCATATTAGCAGAATGACAAATAAAACTTGCCATTTTTACAAAGTCCTCCTCACAGAGCTGCAGCTATTGTCATTGTGGGAGTGAAGATTAACACTGCAGTTATAAAACCACTCAGGATTTATTGATTTTTAGCCACAATTATTACATTTTTTTTCTCATGACTTATGAATAGATGTGCAGATTTATTTCTAAAGACCCATTTTGGTGTTTCAGCACTTTACCGGAGACCAAAGGCAAAGAATCACACACCGTCTGTGTCCGCTGTAAGCTCTCTGAAGCCAGCAGCTCAACACCATGCTTCGGCTCATCGTGCTGAGATGGCCACTGTTCATGTGACTGAGGATGCCTCTTACTTTAATTACTGAAGAAAGGTCACATTGTGTCACAATGGAAAGAATCATCTAAATATAACTCATTAAACTATTCGTCCATTTTAAAATTAGCAAACAAGTTTAAAGTGAAGTAACTTGAAGAATATATATCATATTACACTTATATTAGCTGAAGCGATAATGACTTTTTTGTTATATGAAAGTGTATAAAGATAAATGTAAGGAAAATATTATCATCCAGGTTACGAGAAATTCCCCAACTCTATGTTTTTTCACCACACTTTCCTTTAAATGTATAGAATATTAGAAGTGATCGATGCAAGATTCTAATATCAGTGGCAACAGGTTTTTTCCTTTGATCAATGGAAATCGATCAGGGTGTAGGGAAGAAGACAAGATACTCTTTTCAGATTACACTGACATTATTTGGTGGCAGTTTCTTTTTTTGTTTTGTTTTTCTGTGTCTCACTTTAGAGACTTATCAACATTTCTATTTTTTTCAGACTTAGGTCAATTCTTTTTTTTTCTGAAGCCTTTCAACGGTATAATTACTCACCATTTGCCTTTTCTGATTAAATGTAGGTTGAGTAAGACCTGTAGGACACTGTACTTTGCAAGTCTTTTGTGCAACACAAACTTTAAATTAATTTTTTGTTGTTATTATTTGATGGACTGATACTGAAGTGAACAAGAAATGCAGAACAAATTACAATATACATTTGTTTTCAGCCCCCCAAACTAAGAACTCTGAATTGACCAACGCTGCCTTATATATCTCAATATGAATTATGTGCCTATTGAACTTTGGAGAGTGGCTACTATCAGTCAAATTGAACAGTATTTAGAGCATCTATGAGCATCAATTCTTAAGCCTTGCATGAAGTTTTACTTGCAATTATGCCTAGACGTTTGACTCCTGGATTTTAACACAGTAGCTATGTAAGGAGAGGGACCCTCAACCCCAGTCTCAGGGGTTTTCAGCCTTTAGCAGGCTTTCTTCCAGGTTTGAACAGTTTTAGTTTTAGCCAAGGTTCCAAAGAAAAGCATCTTTACAGCATAATGCTGTCGCCAACATATTCCAAGATGGGAAAGCTGTATTTTGGATGCTGTGCAGTGTTAGTTTATTGCCACACTTCTTTTGCAAGCAGCATATGGCTTCTTACATGGCTTTTGTTCACCTTAAAGATATAGTGGAGGATGTTCTTTTTCAGGGTGCTTCAAAATAAGTGGTCCTCTTAATTGTCAATCATTCTGCTGACATGTTTAGGCCGTCCAAAGTGCTGGTCCCCATTTTTACTTACCGGTGGTGAGTCTAACATAGGGGAAAGATTCCAAATCTTCTTTTGGAAAGTAAGCTTGTATGAACGATGCAAACAGCAACTTTTAAACTAAGCGTGCATGAGGAGAAACAGGCTTGTGCATACACTTGCATGCATGTAATAGGGTTTCCCTTTTGGGAGCGGGTACAGGGATGTGCATGTGCATTTTTTTTTCTAAGTAGGTAGGGAGTCTTTTCAAAAATTCGTGAAATCCTCCACTATGCCTTTAACTGAGACCTTTGCAGCTAGGCAGATTCTCCCAGATTCCACATCCTGTGTGTTTTCTTCGCTCCACACATGAGTGCAGTTCCACATTCTCTGGGACTTCTCTGAACATCGCTGTCCTCCGACATACTCTCTCTCCTTCACTCTCCAAATATGGAACAACTGCATTTTTCAACCTGACTCCAGCTGGACCTCTTGCACATGCTCTTGGTGCTCTTCAGAAAACTAGGAGTGGAGCTTGATGGTAGTTAGTGTTGCTTTCCACGGATTGATGGAGGCAGTCTCCTACATAACTGAGCAGAGGATGTGAAATCTGGGCATTACCAAGGTCCGGCTGAAGAGAACATCCCTAAAAAAATGCTGCTACCACTGTAGCTTTTTTTTCCCAAAAAGCAACTAGAACAAAAGTGCACGAGTAAAAGTTGTCCATTAAGATTCTTCCGCCTCCTGTGACTAATGCACTTGTTGTCCACTATACGGGATCATGCCTACATAGGTTTACAGTAATGCAAATATCTTTTTGGCATTATGATAAAATAATCACATAATAAATTGAATGGTGTTTTGTAAGGTGTGCAGATTGAAATACTGTGCTGTATTATACTACATGCACTATAAATAAGTCCAAAGTTCTTCGCCCTGAGAGTTACCCCACTAGATACAGCAGGGTATGAATTTCACAAGCGAAATTTACGCACAACAGCTAGGCTCATTGTGAAAGAAATTACACAGCATTACCCTGGGGTTCCACCAAACGCGTTAACGCCGTGGATCGTCCTCACCATGGATCTTCCGCACTGCAGATTCAACACAGAACCCGATTCCACTTAGAGCGGATCAGAGCAGAGAGCCTTGGAGAGGTTAGACTACGCAAGGATTTTGTCATCGTGCAGTAGGATCCTAATAATCATTGCTGCATGGTGCCATATAAATTAATATTCTCTGGTGGCTCTGTGCTTGAGCCGTAGGTAATGTTGCTTTGATGTTTTAGGGTAAAATATGATCCACAGCAGAGTCCTGCATGGGTCTGATTTTTCAAAACTGTATCCGCCCACACTCATAGAGTTCAGAACCGACCCGTTACCCACAGTTATCCCCATTTAAAATCCGCCCGGGACCGCACAGACCCGTAAATAATAAGGTGCGACCTGACTCAAGATCACAAAGTGTACACACAACCGTTTATAATAACAGAGGCAGAAAAGAACATTGCCTCATCCTCACATCCAGTGCGCGCTGCTCTCACAGATTAACAGCTATAAATTGGCCACAGTAAGAAGTGTTGAGCATGAAAAATAGACCCACAGCATATTTTAGAGAAGCATCCATTGGACTATGCTTCTGGGACGCTCCAGGGACACTGTGGCTTGGCACGTGGAATTAACTGGAGTGGCTGCATTCAACTCCGGCAGTAAGGCTTGATTGCAGCGTGGACGATCCGCTGAGTAAACACAGGGTTTACACTATATTTATTGAACTATTTTACCTATGTTGTGTAAATTAGCATCACAGTTTAATGATTGCAATTCTTTTCTGAACAAAGATGATGAACTTGAAAGATGTTGAATATGTCTTTTCATAACAGCAACAGCAGACTAGCTATTCACAATAACATGCAAAGGAATCGTGCTATGATGTCATAGTGAAAAGGATAGAAGGAATTTCTTTTTCAAACCTACATTGAACTATTTTACATCTCTCTCCTTCGGGATCAGAGTGGCGATTTAAGTCATGTGTATTCCTTGAGATTATCCATATATGAGGATTTTAGCTCGTATTTCGCTGCAGCTAACCAGTGAATGGAGTGTCTGGCAATGGTGCCATTATTGCATTCTCTGGGGTCAGCAGAGGAGGAGGGGGAAATGTGTGACAATTTTCCGCTACCCCCCGTTCATCACCACTCCTGATTAAAAATGCTGTGACACACTTGCAAGCATTTGAAGCTGGCAAGGGGTGGCCCTTTGAAATATTGCTGATGGCAGTTTAGTGCAGCAGCTTCCTTGAAAGGCATGGTTCACCATGCCTTGCCATGTGGCCTTCTGATTTTCCCAGCTAAAATAGGGTCTACCTAATCCCCCCTTGGCATGGCCAACCATCCCAGACATCCTGACACTTTCCCCAATGGAGAGATACTCCGAACAGGTGAGGGACTCAAAATAAGGGCCTCCTACCATAGCTTGCAACACAAAGTGAGTGGAGACAGGCCCTTTTGTAGGACTGTGCTTGAAGGGGGATTATTATTGTTTTTGCAGAGAAAGAAGAGCCCTAGGTCAGCTGGCCCGGCCCCTAACTCGAGGCCTGTGTTAATCCATGTGCGAATGCCAGTCGCCTTGGCCAAAAGCCCCCTCCACAAGCAGCTTTCTTTGAAGAGATGATACCCGAGCTCCCCCGCTGCGACCCTCACTACACTGTAGTGGACCATAAAACAGTAAGATGACTTTGGAAAAGCTGTTTGTAACCCTCTTTAGATATTTAAGACACACATACAGCTTAATTACTCTAGAGGGAGAAATATAGACTGATCACAAACTACCCCCCCAAAAAAACTCCCAAAACTCACAATAAATCTTTGGCAACTTGAGAAAAAAATAAATATGCTCACCCGTCTACATCTCTGGCTCTGTGTATACAGTAAAATGAGACTGGCTAGGACCGAGCTTTAATTCCTGTCACCATTTGTTAATTATGGCCAGCACAGTTGTAATTAAAAGAGGCACCCATCCACCCTCCATAGCCAGCTGACACAGCCACACAGCTCAGCTGGCAGAGATGAACACAGCGAGTACAAACGCAGTCACCTGGCAGGAGCCAGAGCTGAGAGAAACTGTAGAAAGTAGTGACATCACTTTGGACAATGACAGGAATTTTCCATGGGCTACAAATCTCTGGGCTACAGGGAAATTCACTCTAATACAGAAAGGGCTGAACACACTTGTTTATACGTTGAAAAAAAGGATATTTTCTCTTCTGCTTGTGAGTGTGGGTGTGTGTTTATGTGTGTATGATGGCAGCTTCCTTTATTCGTGCTTGGAGGGATGAACATCTGTTGGGAATTTGAGGTAATTAGGTTAGTAGGTTGTCAGTGTCAGGAAATTGAAAGACAATCCTAATCAGATTTGTGTTTCTAGGGAATCAAATAATTTATATGAGAATATAAAATATATTTTTGAAGTGTCTTGGAAAAGTATTATAATCCTTTCTTGCCAATATTTATTAATTGCCACAAATAGGATTTGTTTTTTTCTTTTAGATAAAAAGCTGAAACATGTAAGGTTTAGTTATATTCAATCTCTCTGAAACTCATACATTAAATCTAGTGCAACAAAAAAGCTTTTAAAATAAATAAATGTGATTAATTTAATCTAAATCCATCTCTTCTATGAAGGACCTAGGAGTTGTTTTTAGAGAACTTGAGAGAACAAACAACATCATGAAGACCAAGGAACACAGCAGACATGACAGGGAGAAAGTTTTAGAGACGTTTAATGCAGGGCAAGAGTTAGACAATGACTAAAGCTATGGGCTCTATTGAATGCTTTCACAAATAATGGTGACCATACACATGAACTAATAGGCCAGACTGGGAGAGCACTAAGTAGCAGTCGCCCTCAAGAGGCCTATTGTGACTCTAGAGAGGCTGTAGATAGCCGCAACCCAGGTTGAGGGATTTGTTGACAGGTAAGGGCTACAATCCAGAAATCAAGTCTCTATAAGAAGGCCAATGTTAAATAGAACACAACAAGTCTATTGATCAACTAATGAAGAAGGGTTCTTTGGTTAAACAAGACCAAAATTAAATCTGCATATTGGAGAAATGAGGGATTTCCTTGCAGCATGAAGGTCCTTCATTGACATCCAGCATGAGGCTCTTCCTACATGTTCTCCTCAGATACATCATCTTACTCTCAGATAATTGGTCTCTTTAAATTGCCCTTATTTCTCAGTTGTTGCATACAAGGTTGATTATCCTGTGTGTCTGTGTTGCCATGTGACGAACTGCTGACCTGTCAAGGATGTACCAAGCCCATTCCCTAAATAACCATTGGGGATAGGTGTAACTGTTCTCTCTACCCCACAAACTTGCAAAGATAAGCAGGTATAGATAGGCATTGAAGGTTTGCATGCATAACACAATGTCAGGACAAAAAGCAACACTGCGCAAACCCTGAGGACTCCATCCACAGCATCATGCTGTGGTCTTGGCTGGCATATAAAAGCTGGTCAGGGTTGATCAGAGGATGGTTATCATAAGTATAAGACGATCCTGGAGGAAAATTTAATGGGGTTATTAAAGACAAAAAAGGTTACATTTTACTGAATGGACACATTCAATAAAATAAACTGAAGTTTTAGTTTTAACATGATAAAATGTCAGACATCTTTAGAGGCATATTGGAATGCTTTGTAATACCACCTCAAATTTATTCAAGAGAAGAGCTGGTCTTGTCAGATACGAGGTAGACATTTAGATATTTTGCATAAACCTTCTGTCGAGTCCCTTTTTGCTAAATGAAGGCCATCACTTCAGTCTTGCTCATCCGATATTTCTCCTTCCCTCTCATTCACTGAGCGACCTCCAGTTGTTTGTTCATGGGACACATCCAAACTCATCCTCTCCAAGAGCACTTGCTGATGGGTAAATTGTATTAGGCTCATTTGCAGTGGCCACACAATGTCCGGGTTTGACACCGTCCTCCCTGTTATAAAGTGATGAAATCATCAAAGAAGTGCTCTGGCTGTGGGTGTTCTTCACTCAGAGGACGCAGAAAGCTGACAAATTAACTCCTCCTCTACCGCGAACATTTCATTGAGCCTTTTCCCGTCCACCCTTTAATATTAAATTTGTTTGCAGGAGTTACATTATGTATACAGATTGAAAGGATTCTCCCTCTTGGCAGGATTAAGATTTAGGTTTCGCAACAGCGATGACACACAAGTATGAGTATCCAGGATATTAATGCTTGCATACAGTTGCATTAAATAACCAAGTACCTGTTCAGGGATATCAAAAGAAAGGAACAGCGTCTATGAAATATGTTAACAATGTTGAAAATTAATAGAAGAGAAAAGACATTCGAATAGAAGCCTTCTTATCAAATAATGAGATAATAAATAACTTATGTTATGATGAGGTTGGCTTGACATTTACAGTATCAGTGAGTAACCTGGCCCCCTAGGTGTGGTTTGGGGTGATAAGGCCTACATGCTGCTCCAGTGAAAGAGGGGTGAAATAGGGGTCTTTTATGGGAAAGCAATACCCAGTTATCTGTCTGCAATATGACAGTGGGAGCCTTGTACGTTATGTGTGTGGCTGGGTGTTTTCTCAGAGTCTGGGCTTGGGGTTTTTGTTTTGTGGATGTGAAGCACAGTACAACTGAGCTTACAGATGTGAGCAAAGAGGCAGGTATCTGACAGCTAATTAGTATGCAGCCTGCCTCACCCCAAAAGCTAAATAATTAGAGGGCCAGTCTGTGAGATCATTGACCCTGCATTAAATATTCATATGTTTAGACCTGCTCTGGGCTCAGCTGTGTCACAGTAGACCAGCCAGGCATGGACCACATATGGGAAGGCAGCAAGGCCTCTGACACAGCCGTACAAACACACACAGACACCCTTAGGAATGCATTTTAACACACATATGCCAACATGTTGTCCTTTCTGTATCACTTAGACACAAGGAAGACAAAAATATTTTCATAATTTTTCAATTTTCAGCCAGAGTATATCACTTTACAGAACTACTTAACGCCTGCTTAGAAAACACACTCATACTCCACAAAATTTTACACCATTTCTCTACAAAACTCAATGTATTTTGTTTTGTATTTTATATGGCCAATACAAAGTAATACAAAAACAAAGTTGGGCATGCTTTTGTACTCAGCCTGTTTATTCCACATTCCCTATGTCATGGTTAATTTGATGCCCATTCTGTCTCCTCTTTTCTAGGGGTTCGTCTGGACCGTGTACGAGGGGGCAGACAGAAGTACAAGCGGAGGCTGGACACAGAAAACAACCCTTACTTGGGCTTGACGCTCCCCCCACCTACCAAAAAGCCTCGTGAGTACTGCTCCATCACTAGCCCTTTGTGTCCCTCCTCCGTCGCCCCTCATCCAGCCGGCAAGCCTGCAGGTAAAGCTGAGGCAAAATTTTAGGCCAGACTCATGTTCCCTCGTTACTCACATGATTGGACGGTTGAGAGTTCATTTGTCAGAAATGTAGGCCATCTATTGTTCCGGCCAAAAGTAAATTATGTTAAGTCTCTGAACAGGTATTATAAAACTGAATGCTGGAGGAGACATTTTCACTCACAGATGTTCTTAAGTTACAACAAAATTCAATAAATGAAGTCCCATCATTTCTCTGATTCTATCTTTTTTTTTGCGTTCATTAGTACTGTCCGTCTTTATGGCCTAGTGAGCTTCGCTTCCTCTTACCTTTGCATGTCTTCAATATCCTATTTCCCCCTCTTCTGTTTTCAGTCACAAAGATAGTGTCTCACCTGTTGGTGGCAGAGCCAGAAAAGATCTATGCCATGCCTGACCCAACCATGCCAGAGAGTGACATCAAGGCTCTCACCACGCTCTGTGACCTGGCTGACCGTGAGCTAGTGGTCATCATCGGCTGGGCCAAACACATCCCAGGTAAAGAAAAAACATCCTCAATCATGCTTAATCCCATTGTTAATCCCACCTTCATTTTCACTTTAGTGTCTGAATTTTCTTCTGCTTCAAGAAGGTTGGTTATTTTCCTGTTGGCTGGTATGATTTTGTCTAATTTGTCAACTAAATTTAAACACTAGAAGAGAACATGGGATTCCTCAAGGCTCTATTCTAGTGTCACTTTTATATAGACTAAATCTTTTTTCTTTTTTTTTTTTTTTAACATAGCTGTGCTATAGACCAGCCCTCAAATAGAGTATATGAGGATGACAGCCACACAACATGACTTTCTAAAACTTTTTGAAGTCTAATTTGGGGCTGACCAGTTTTGCCAAATATCTAACTTGCAATTATCCTTTGCACTAAACACAAGCATGTTTATGTTTTACTCCAGGGTTTTAGTTTTTTCATGACCATGAAAGCCTGCTTGTCCAGAGTCCAGTGTTGCAGGACTTTACTGTAACATTTGCACAAATCAAGTTCTTCTACTATAATGCATAGATCTAGGTGCTAGCTGCAACTCTCTCTTCCCTTCTGTGCAGCTTCATACCTACTTTAACGCCACCTAAAGGGCTGAAGGGGGAAAATGTAATTATAACATGTTTCTTTTTTCCTCTGATAACACCTTTAGAAATGTATGATGCCATACAGATAGACTTGCTCCCTTTAAAAAAAAGTAAATAAGCAATATGTTTGTTCCCTCTTGTAGTGTCTGTCAATTAAAAGGGATAAACCCTGAGCAGAGTTTTGCAAGACCTTAAAATAATGCATTTAATAGCCCTACACTGAATGGAAAAGGAGAAACTGGCAGATTTAAAACAAAGTTGGTGACCTGCCCAATCAAATAAGACATCATATCACACATGAATGCACCAAAGAGCAGGAACACACACATCTCTTGAATTATTGATAAGCATAATCATGTTTCTTCTGTGCCCCATAGACATAGTGATAGACGAGGTGTTAGGTTATAAGAGGCTGTTGAATTAAGGATACACCATTGAGAATACACCGCCTCACGTCAGCAGAGATTTTGCTTCCTTCAAGAGTTTTCCTCTGATTTTGACAGAGAACATGATGTTTGCCTGCTCTTTTTTTGCAACTCAGGCAGATTTTGCTTGATCTTGCACTTGACCCCCATAACTCTACAGCATTACGATGCTGTAAGCGCAAAAGAGTAACAGACTAAATGACAGTGTCCCTGAGCGGCAACTCCATAACCTCCTCCTCTCATCAGCATAACGCAAACAGGAACACAGCTGTCATTGTGCAGAAAAGCTCAAGCAGCTGCATGCTTTTATCTTTTATCCGTAAGTTAAAAAGGTCATTTAAATCCAAGTTGATAAATTGAGAGTACTTATTTTCTAAAGGACCAATTGGAAATAAAGCTGACTCTTTTTTATATAGTGCCGAAAAGCTATTAGAGTACTTCTCAGAAGGAAGGGTATTAATCAGGTACAGATCTGATAGTAAGGAGATTAGAGGTGGATATGCTCCCAGGCCCTGGCCTCAGCTCCGGTCCCTTACATGTCTAAACTGTTTGGATCAGTCCGCACATGGCCATGCATGGTCAGCAGCCTGAGAGTTTAACCAAGGAGCTTACTGAGGACTGGATCACAGCTGACCCGATAACACACTCCCATCGATGTGACCCAAAAATTACGCCAGCGCCGCAGACATGGACAGAAATCCCATGACAATAGGATGTGAATGGTTGGATATAGGCTTCACTGACTTTGTAAAGGAATTAAGAGATGACCGCTGAGTATACATTAACCTAACTGATTTTTTTAAAATTTGTATCATATTACTGAATCCTTTTTTATTTTTATACTCAATCTTTGATCTTACATCATAAGATGCATAACCAATATATTACACCTACAAGTTTTTGTATGTCATCAAAGATACTGTTAATTATTTACTCTTACACATCACAGTTAATGCACAGGGCACAGATTCAATCTTTGGGCTCTTTGCCTAACACCATTGGATAAAAAAAAAACTCATGAGCAATATTAATTTCCCTCTAACTCTGCAAAGATTGTGCTGTTCCTAAATTAGAACAAGTATCTGCCACTTAAAGGCTACACTGAATAATCTGGACTACCTGTGAGATGATAACCTTTAAGCAGATTATTTTGATCTCCTTCCTTGTAAACACATACAGCCTCTCACTAATACCTGTCTTTCAATTTGAAACGTTTTCATTGTTGAATCAAAAGTATATATATTTTTTTATATTGTACAGCCTTTTAAGCTAAAAAAAAGACAGACCTATGCTTCCACTAAGTGGTTTGTCTGTGTCTGTCCCCGTAGTGGTGTTTGTATTAGGACAGCGGGTGTCCTCTGGCCATGAAATGGCTGCATAATTGAGTTGTACATGGCTGAACCTGATCAGAGACGGTTCACTGGTTGAGCGGGACTCCATGCGCTAACACTCCATGCACCGGCGGTACCCCAGGGCAGCCTACCATGCTCATCTCCTGCTATATTTCTCCTCCTTCACTACAGGACCAGACAGGAAAAAAATGCTGATTGTATTTTGATAGATTTTGTGGCCTTGGGCAATGGAATTAAAAAGATTAACAGTTCATTACGAAGTAGAACACACTTATTAGGCCACTTACAGATGGGCCAATAACTAAAGTTCAAATGCAACAGTTTTAATGTTAGAAAAATTGGCACTTAGCTTCTCCCAGCTCCTTTTCGATTTTGTCTATTAACAGAGAATTTTTAAAATGTGTTTGAAAAGAGCCATAATGTGGAGAAGAATGGCCTATTCCACAGTAATGGGAGGAAGAGAGGAAGATAACAAGCTCTATGGGCTGTATGGTTATGGTCCAATGTCAGCTTCAGTTCTGAGCTGTGTAAAAAGGATTTAGCTTCCAGAACCTTGCAAAAGTATTCATACCGTTTTCAGCTTTGTATATATATTTCTAATTTTGCAACAGTTTTTTTGTACTAATATTTAGTTTGGTTTTATAATGAAGACCAAAATAAATTGGATTAAATGGGAAAATCACTTAAAATTTTAGCTGCAAGTGCTTCATGGTGTGTGTATTTTTTTTTCCTGTTGTTGAACAACAGTTCAAGCCCATCCAGATTACATTAAAAAAGTCATTCAAATGATCATTTTAAATACATTTGCCAGAGTCTAATTTGATTTAGCTGTGGACTTTGACGGTGCCATTCTAGGATGTGGATATGCTTTGATCTAAACATTTTTAATGCATCTGTTCACCTTATTTTAACTTTCTTGCTGATAGGTGATCCCCCTTATTGAAAGATTCTCCCACCTTAACTTTGGATCTCTGCTGCTCCTCCAGAGTAATCATTGGCCTCTTAAGTGCTTCCATTGACAATGCTCTCACTGTCCAGCATGTTAATTCAAGATCACCCTGGATGATCATATCTTCTCTGGCTAGCTGGTTTTCCATCTGATTTTTTAAAAATAGGCTAGAACCTGCTGGGATATGACAAAGGTTGAGATACATATTTATAAGCTAACTCTGCCTATAAACTTCTCCACAACTTTCTCCCTAACCTGTCTGCCTCATTTTTTTGTCATCATATTGATGTTTGTTCATTAATGTAACAAACATCATGCTGACATGTCAGTCAGCTTCCCAAATACAACCATAAGGCACAGCCTTCAGCCGGCTGAGGAGGGGGTGCAGGGTCATAAGGAGGAGCAGTGTTCCAGAGATGCTGACAGATGGGTTGTTGCTCCTAAGGTGTTAACAGCCTTTGACACACACTGCTGTGTACTGTCCACCCCCTTTGGCCTTTTCCCATCACATAAAGCTGAATTCCACTCTGCCTAGGTATTTTACAGAGGATCTAAATAAACTCACAGCTTCTGGGCCCTAAAACCTCCTCACTACCTTGACACTGCTGCCTACCTGAGAGTGTGACTGTCCTGGATACCTCCCCCCTGCTGTTCTGAAGTCATGTGAAAACTGGCATGTAGGCCTTTTGTACAAGACATACTTGTTCATCAAGCTGCAAGCTATGGTAGCTAAACTTTTGACAAGACCAGTTTATGTTTTCACATAGCATAACCAAATTTTCAACACCCAAACAGTGTTTGAGCCATCATATAGTATAGAAAGAGTGTTTCTCAACTGCAAAACAGCCTGGGAAAGAAGTTGGTTAAGCAGAGAACCACCAAAAATACACATGGAGGAGCTGCAGAGATCCATGGCTCACTTTTTAGAATTTCTGACATATCCAATTATTGATAAACTTCAACAGATCTGGCCTTTTTGTAAGGCTACTCTTAAGTAAGGAAATTTATAAAAGTATTTTTTTTTTGCAGTTTCCCACAAACCAGGTAGGGGACACAGAAAACATGAGAAGGGGGGTATAGACTAAATTAAAGTTTTTTTTTGCCTGGATGTAAAAAATTTATCTGTGATTTATCTTGCACATCAAAACATATCTGAACAAAAAACAGAAGGAATGGAAACATGATGGTGGCAGCATCATGATGTGGGATTTCTTTTCTTCAGAGGGACAGGATAGTGCGTCAGGGATTCTGGGAAAATAGATCCAGCAAAATAAACTTTAAAATACCTTTTTGAGGCAGACTTTCTCATTCAAGAAGGACACCCCCCCTTGTTATCAAAGTCTATTCTTCATATCTTAAAATGGTCCGGTCATATTCCATACCTAAACGTGTGACAAGACTAGTCAACTAATCTACCTAAGCTGAAATAGGCAAAAATTCTCATGTGTAGACATGTAGATCTGGTAAAACAAAAAAACCCACAGACAAATGTCTTTTACTTAGATGTTTGTTTTTTTGCATCAAGACACCACACTTCTCATAGTTTACATGCAAGATAACTTAAAAATAGTGCTTTGAACTTTATATAATTATTCTTAACAATAGTTCTGTATTTATTGTCTGAGATTTTTGTCAATAGAAGGTAATGTAGACTGCAATGCTTTATCACTGGTGTTATGGGAATATTCAT